ATATATATATATATTTGTAGAACCGAAAACAATAAATCGATAGAAAGGTGTTCATCCTCTCCCAACAAGGTGTGCTTTTTCTCACCCGTCATCAAGTGATCCACTCGACCACTCGACCACCGCCACGGATGGACGCGCGCCTGGGGACATGACATCCAAGACCTTCTAGAAGCTTGCACCGCGCCGCCTGGGCCGATGAACATGGAACATGTGATGTGTCTTCTTCCTGAAACCGATGTGGTGCTGGTAGCCTTCACCGGCAAAAGGAACCCTTCAGGAAGAATCAGAAAGATGGGTTTCATCCAGCTGAAGTGGCCTACTCGGGGGTTGGAATCTCGAGGAACCTGGCCTTCGACAGCTTGGCCTTCATAGCCTTCTCCCAAGTCGTGGTGGCCACAGTAGCAAGCTACACGGAAAGTTTGGACCAGCGGCAAAATCGGCAAATCCTCTGAAGAGTCAAAGAACGGCCATGTGTGTTCTACCTTCTTGCCTTTGCACGCATGTGAGAAGGCGTTTCTGCAGTGCAGGCATTGGGCGCAGGCACTTGAGGATGAGTGGCACACCCATGGTGTCCCCGACCAGGTGCCACTTCCTTCGGCTCCCGACCCCGTACCTTCGGGTCGGAGGAGCCCGGTCAGGGCGCCTTCCTTGCTCTCTTTGGGCCGGCGCGGCCCTTTCCGTGGAAACGTCTTGGGCACTCTCGAGAGAGAGGGGAAAAAAAGAAGGATGATAAAGAACCTCTTGAGCCCCCGGAAGCGTGGTGACGCCGGTGAGCTTCTCCTCTTCGAGCGTGGCGTGCGATCACACAAGAGTCGCGTGGTCCGGCTTCGACTTCAACACCCACCAGTTCAGGGGGACGCCCCAAATCAGGAGAGGTCAGAAGCGACGAACCATGGCCGTTTGTTTGCGTTCGTGGGCATTTTGCTCTGCTTTCGTGCTCAGTGCCAGGAAAATGGTCTTGCTGTTTCGCATTTGTCTGCCTCAGTGGAGGACAAGAGGCATCTTCCTCGCCTCGGCACAGGCCACATCGGCCCATGCTTTTAACCTACGCTGCATTGCCCCGCAGAATCCTGGACTCGTGGCAAATCCTTCTGGCGCTGGATCATCAGACCTTATCACTTCGAGGCAGAATGGTGATGTCTCTTCATCAACACAGTGCAGATCGTGCGTCCTTGACGATTTGTCATTGCTTGGATGTGATACTCTACTCAACCCAACGCCTGTACTGAACATCCCATCACCAATACAAAATCCCACGCGATTCACAGGTCTGTTTCCGTACGGCGAACGCCCAAAACGGCGATTCGACCAGCTTTCCAAGACTGATCCAAGGATCTGATCACCGGTTTGAACTTTAATCATACTATAATGAAATGAGTTAACATCTCCGGTGATCTTTTCATCTCCCTCTTTTTGCTTCTGATCTCTGGACCACCTGTCCGGCGCCTCCAGCTCTTCTCGCCCGAAGCGCACGTCCGGCAGGCGCCGCACGTCGAAGCGCCGCAGGAACTCCTGCACCTGCGCGAGCGTGGCGCGCCCGCAACGGAGGACGAGTTCGTGTCGATGTGATGACCGGCTGACCAAGAAGAAGATGTTGTAGCCAAAAGAGATTCCAATGAGGGAGTTCAGATCCGCGTGACCATGTAGGAAAACCATCCAATGAATCCAATAACATCAAATAACTGTCCATTGGGTGGTGATGGTGGTGGTGGTGGTGGAGGGATCCTGAATCCTAAGTCCTGATCAAGTTGGGTGATGAAGACATGTGAAGACCAGTCATGTTTCCCCTTGACCGATCATTTCAAGCTGACGTCCTCTACTAGAGGCCCTCCACATCCCTCCACATCAATCCCATCTTGGGAGAGATGGGATGGAAGCTTCACAAAAGGTTCTAGAACTTTCTGAAGTTCGTTTCGCTTCCACCTCGCAGCGCTTTTCTTGGTTTTCACTCGAGAGCTGTGCTTGACCCGTTTCCGCAGTCGGCCGTGCTCACGGAGGTCGGTCGCCTCGAGGTGTCCCAACCCTTCCGGGTCCAAGGACGCCCAAGTCTCGTGGACCTGAGCTGATGCGTTTCTCGCTCGGTGCCGCTGGGACCTCCGGAAAGTTCCGGGGCGGAGAGGAGGGGAACCTCCGGAGCGGCCAAATGGAGCCCGAAAATCCTCCAAAAGATCTGATCTTTAAAGTCCAAAACCTGAAAACCAAGAAACAGGGCCTTTGCACAGAAGCAGGTGGGGTTCCGAACACCGGGGGATTTCCCCCGGGCGCACTCCGAAATCGGTGGTCTTTCCCGAATCAGTGGTTTCGCGTCGCAACCGACTAAACTTGGTTGCAGATAGATACAAACGACTAAACCTCCAACGACTCAACTCGATTCCATACGGTTACGGAACTTGGCATGTTGAAGACAACCACATGGTTGCCCCTTTTAAGATTTTTAAGTGGAAAAATGTCGTGAAACGAGGATTCCCATATGGACTTGTTCAGTGGTGATGTGCTCACTGGGCAAGGCTCAGCAAATCTGGATGTTTCATGCTCTGCTCTGCCATTTCTGTGGGTAGCTACACTGTACACGGAATCCTTCACCTTGTGTCACCGACACTTCCTGAACCAATCCTCTTCCGGGGCCACCCCCCCCTCTCCCTTGTTTCGGTGGTTTTTCCCCTCAAAAGTCACCGGTGACGCGGCGACGCGGTCCCTTTCTTCACCTGGACCGGTGACGCCGGTGACACTGTGCCGGTCCGAGGCACCAAGGCAGCACGAGCAGGTGGCAGATGCCCACGCCTGATGGTGGTGTTCGACGTGGACAGGGACATCATGGGATGGTGATGGTGATGGTGAAAAAGATGTGGTTGGAGAATGAACTGAAAAAAAGATAAACGTGTCCAGAAAGCACATGGGACATCATGGGACCTAGGACCATGGACATCTGGTGACCGTCACCAAACAATGTCTGGAGCGAAGAAACGTCGGGTCAACGTGTCTTCTTTGGGCTGACTGGACCAAGGTTGGGCATGTTCGGTCAAGTCCGCGGCGAATCGCCCAGTCTGTGACCGAAATCGACATCGGGTATCATCGGGTAAGTTGACATAGAACCTGACAAAGGGACCGCTGGAACATGATGTTTGTCTGCAAACAGTTGCATGGTGTTCAGTTTCTATTTGGCGCACTGAGTCTAAAAACAAGTGTTGGAGATGATGGCGAATCCTTGTTTGATGGCGGACTGAGTTGTATGGTGTTCCTTTTGTCGAATGGCGGACTGAGTCGGAAAAAAGTAACGCAGTTCTCACTTCCATTACTGCTAGTAGCTGGCAGACGCTAAGTGACGTCGTTCGTGTACGTACTACCGTACATGGATGCTTCGGACGGACGGTGGCATCTAGGTTCGGGGTCCTGTCGGTGTCTGTCTCTCAGTGGAAGGTGCTTTATGTGTTTTGCCTTCAATCGCTTGAGCAGCCCAGTTTAAACACTCATAGAAGAGGTAGGCTGGTAGGCTGGTAGTGACTTGGCTGGCGGAGAAACGTCTGAACCCTCGATGACATGTCGCACTTCAAGACATCCGCACATCCGTGCCCATCTGTCACCAAAGCACATCACGGCACTCAGCTCCTCCACGGAGACCTGGCGTTGTCGATCTGAACGACGTGCCCGTGGAATTTTCCCATGGTGAAGCGTTCGGAAAGGTCGAATCGGTTTGGACCTTTTTGGTGACGAAATGGTAACGGTTTGGCCTATTGGGCCCCAACAAAACAGAGGTGGAAGAATGCTGGTTTGGCCGATGTCGCCTATCCAATAGATGTACTTTACACATCTGTATACTATAGTGCAGCGTCAAGTATATCTCTTTCATTGTATAAATGCTCTGTATCTGCTCCCACATGATAAATTTTGCTCTATTTCAACACCAAATGTAACTAATAAAAAGTACATCATTACAAATTGGGCCAAATATTGTGTCCATTCATATACATATACGATCCACTATATTCAAATACGCACATTGATATTATATAATAAAAACCAAATATGAACAAACAACAATTTCAATGTCTTGCTTAAAATGTTTAATGTTACTATTGTTTAAAGAACCATCACCAAAATCAGTTACATGTTTACTTAAATGATGAATAAAATCTTGCGCTATATCACTATCACATGATCCGCCATCACTTGACTGATCTTGCACTCCTGCCCTGCCAGGGCGGCCATCACTTGATCCTCCAGCTTCAGAGATTCACTGCGCATTCTTTTACATGTAAAAATGTTTCCACAAATGTGCTCCATCCATCATTCATGTCCGAACTCTTTTGGACAAGTCTGCTCTGTCAGACATGCGCTGAAATGCCACCAAACACCAAATGCCGTCCAGGCCTGTGTGTGTGTTGGAGAGAAATCACCAGCGGTGGCTTGACTGGTCTCACAACGGAGAGAAATGCACCAATCCCATGGTCTCACGACACTGTGAAACCTTCAGCAATCTTGGGCCATGTATCTGGCTGGACTACACCTGTTGTACAGCCACGTCAACTCATCTCACTGAATAGCAGGGAGAAGCCTTGATGCGATCCTAGCTCCTATGCCTGTCACAAGCATGCAGCATGCCTCCTTCGGTCCCATTAGGGGGGGGAAAGACTGGACGGTGTTCATCTCCAGCTCCAGCTCGACCACCTGCCTGCTGCCTGCTTGACCTTCGTGTGTTGCACACATCTCCTCCTCCTCCCTCCTCTTCTTGCGCACCTGACAAGGAGCCCTTCCCAGCTTCACCCGTGTCGCATGTGGGCACGATGGTGCTGTTGTTCCAAGGCAGTGCCTTACGCTGTGAATGGCAGGCGCGATCTCGTTTGGCCGATCTAGTTGCGCCCATGTCTCAGCCCAAGCGTCTGTGCGTCGTAGCCAAGCTGTGAAAACAAGCGTCTGGGCTCTGGTGATCCTTCGAATCTCAGGTCTGAACAAATGAAAGACACCTCGCTGTGACCAACGGCGGCGGGTCTGCGCAAATCGGGCCCACTTCTTTGAGGCTCTACATGGGATTATGACTTGAGGCCAAGGGTTGGTGACGAAAGCTAGCTGGGCGGGGATCTCGAGCTGCCCGATGCACGATGCTAACTTCAGAATGCTTCCAATTGAGACGTCCCAGAAGCGTCCCAGGGGGGGTTGAACCCGGGGGGGCCCCCCCCCCATATGAAATATTCACGTGATGCGGCGTTCTCGAGGATGCCAGCCCCTCACTTGCTAAAGCAAGGGCAACCCCAGCTAGCTGGTGTGCTAGCTTTCGTGACATTTCGAAAACACAAATCCAAAAGCAAAACACTGCTTCATTAGCATAGTTCCAGGTTCATCCATGCAGACTTGGCATTCAAGTCTGCAACAGGGGCAATCTCTGACTTCTAATTTCTTCCCATCATCATCCACCCTCCTGTATCCATGGTAGTCCCTGGCCACCCACAACCCCCTACCATGGCATGAGCCAGTGTGCAACAAACCCTCCATTTTCACTTGCTTGGGCCAAGCTTCGGTTCATCCACTTCTTTCACACGCTGCGCTGGATTTGTGGGCTCCAGAGTGGGCTCCCCAGGACTTACGGCACAAACTTCTCCAACAAGTTGTGTTCTTGAACTGTAGCAACTCGAACCCTCACTGCTGCTGCTCCTGCTGAGGGATTTGGTAGGCTTTGCTGGGATTGGTGGCACCTCAGGTTCATCGGTTGGGCTTGCGGGGCTCTTTGGTTGGACAGCTGCTTTGTTTGAAAGTTGAGGTGTCTCAGCAGTGTCTTCTGTTGCAGCTCGCTTGCTGTTTGGAAGTGGAGGGGTTTCAACAGTGTCTTCTGCTGCAGCTTGCTTGCTGACAGTGCTTTGTTCTGCTGCAGCTCCCTTGCGGTCTGTGCTTTCTTCTGCTGCAGCTTCCTTGCTGCCTGTGCTTTCTTCTACTGCTGTTTGCTGGCTGCTTTGGTTTCCTGGTGCTGGTGGGGCATCACGTGTTGCAGGCACCACAGGTGCTGGTGGCTGGGGCCTTGAGGGTTGTGAGGTTCTGGGCGGTTGTTCTGTTCTGGGTGCATGTGCTTCACTCACTGTCAGCCTGTATCCATCATAATGCCTGGGCAGCAGCCTGAGGGCTTGTTGGGCATCATAGCGGCTCTTGTAAGTGACAAAGGCAACGACCATTGTGTGGTCCTTGCCCTTGCGCACAATCTGGCATCCAAATGGGTACAGCCTCGAGTGCTCCCAGCACCATTGCTTGATGCCCTCATGGGTTACCCACCATGGCAAACCACCCAAGAAGAGCCTCATTTGTTTGCAGGTGGAAGGTGGAAGGTGAAGCTTGGCTGCATTTTTGTGGTCTTGTTTTGTTCCCTCCATTTGTGCTGCATGTTTATTTTGTTGTTTTTGGTTTGCTTGTCATTTGGTTGGGCCCATGAAGTTTTTGGTTTGCTTGTCATTTGGTCGGGCCTATGAGGCCACCACTTACATTGAAACCTACCCAGAAAGGCTGCTTTGCACACAGTCCTTGAACCAATTAACACGCGCAACTGTTTTCATCAAAACACAGCACATGACTGCTCATAGACAAAGGTGGCCCACACTATAGGTTTCAAATTAGAAAGGGTGCACCTTTCCAAATGTGACCTAGACAAGGATGCAAGTGTGACTTAGGCTTTGCACTTGGTACCTAGGATGCAAGTGTGACTTATGCCAACAAGTGGTACAGTGCCAAATTTCAAGTGTGACCTAGAGGCTAGTTTGCCAGTGTTGCCTAAAGGCTACAAGTGTCCTAGTTTGCAAGTATGACCTAGACTGCACCTTTTGTTGGAACTGTGCCTTGGGTTGATCCTATAGTGTGTTCTTTTGTTGTAGAATTCAGCTTTGAAAAAAGCACCACGCTGCCCTCACCTAGGAGAGCATGAATGAAGCCGTACTTTTAGTTAAATTTTGAAACATACAAAAGGTGTGTGTGATCACAAATGCCACATGAAAAGGTTTTTGAACAACAAAGGGAGACTACATCAAGCACCTAAAAACTAAAATCTTACAGGTCCTACGTCCTACATCTACACATATCAAGACTTCCTGGGTCTTGTTGGGGTTTGTCACCGGAATGTACGGAATATTTCCGATGACCCGGATTCTCAAGGCATCTCAAAGCGCTCTGACAGATTCTGAAAGCACATTTTTCTTCTTTGCCACTAGAGTTTCTGAACGTTTACGATCCGGATAAGCCGCTATAGGCGAACTTGGAAAGTGTTCGGGTGGAAGCTTTTTCCTGCCAGCTGGCCCATTGGCTCAGTCATTTGCCGGATTAAAGTCGGCTCCAAGCCCACGATCGGCACTAAGCCGACAATGATGACCACGCTCGCCCCTCAGCGCAACACTGTCGACAGGAAGCCGCCGTGCTTTAAACACTGTGCTAAACACAGTCAGTGCGAAGCCACTGTGCTAAACACAGTCGGCGCGAAGCCGCCGTGCTAAACACAATCGGCACGAAGCCGCTGTTGTAAACACAGTCGGCACGAAGCTGCCGCGCCAAACACAGTCGGCACAAAGCAGCTGCGCTCAACACAGTCGGCACGAAGCTGCCGTGCTTAACACTGTTGGCATGAAGCCGCCATGCGAAACGCAGTCGGCGTGAAGCCACCGCACTAAACACAGTCAAAGCCGCCGTGCGATACACAGTCTTTGAACCTGCATGGGGACGCGCCCAGCCGCGCGTGATGGCGCGCCCGACCTGCACAGAATGCTGCAGTCACTTACTATAGACCTGTAAAGACTGCTCTCGTCCTGCTAAGCACGCCTGACGAAGTGCCTGGCGACGCGCCCACTGTGATAGACCTGCACAGACTGCTGCGGTCACTACTGCAGACCTGTAAAGCCCGCTCTCGTCCTGGTGAGCGCCCCTGCGAGCGCGCCTGCGGACGTGCCTGAGGACGCGCCTGTGGACGCGCCCATGCACTACAGTAGACCTGCGCAGACTGCTGGAGTCACGACTGTTGACCTTGGACCTTTAAAGACCTTATCGTCCTGCTAAATGTGCCCGCGGCAGCGCCCGTTGACGTGCCCATGCGTACTAGCAGGAGCAACATCTGCAAGAATCTTCTGAAACGATTCAAAACTGAGAGGTGCAACAGTTGCGTCTTCATGATCTTCCTTGGTGCAAACCACAAGATGTTGCGCGGTATAAGAGCTTTGAGCACTGATCGATACTAGGACTTGAGGCCAGGGGGAGGAGGTCGAAAGCTAGCCGAATCGCACCGGATGTACTAGTTACATAGGCGGCAAAGCATGTAGTGATTACATGTTTTGGGAGAAAGGTTGCTACGTACATACTTTGCGCTAAAGAATGTAAATGTGACATCGCTGACTGGGAAGGGTACATTGGAACAACACGGGTGCACTCGTTGGCGGGCACGAAGATGCGTGATCGGCAAATCTGGGGGGTAAATTTACCCCCCCGCTTTTGTATGCCTTGTGTCGGA